CGTTCGCACTTCCAGTGCCTCAGCATACAGCTGACTCCCTTCCAGGGTGGAGCGACGGGCATAGCTCCCGAGTCAATCAAGACTCTCCACGGCTTCACAAAGTCCTTCACGTTCGCTTGAACGACCAGCAAGCCCGGCTTGCACACACTCTTCTTATAAGAGCGCCCTGCTCTCTTCGGGGCTGAGCCCCGTTGCCCTCTACCTTCTTGAGGTACAACAGAACTCCGTTCTTCCCCAGTAGGCCGCCCCGCGCCTACTGGGAGTTGCCGTTTCCCGGCGATGACCCGGAGGGTTGGCTCGCCGGAGCCTGGCGCTTGAAGCGCAGAGGGCAGCTCGCCCCCAGATGCTTGGTGCTTTTGCACGTAAAGCATCGGCGGGTGCCGGCACGCTGCTCAGCAGCAAGAAGCTCCGCTTCTTCATCTTCAGCATAGCTGAGGTCCATCGGTTCCGGACCGCTCGAAGAGCTCGCGCTACCAGCGCTCCAACCAGGTCGAGCCGACCTGAAGTTGTGTTCGGCATTCAATGCCACGTTCACCGCCTCCTCAAAAGAGGTAGGGTGTACACGGAATACTTTCGTTCGAGCTGCGCTCACGCGGAGCCCCTCCATGAACACGGTCACAGTGACCAGTTCCGGAAGGGGGTCCGCCGTCATCCCGGCGATCAGAGTTCTCAACTCTAGGACATAGTCCAGTAATTCCTTCTTACCCTGCCGGGTAGCAAGGCTTCGACCGAATACGGTACGCCTGATTAGGCGGCGCGAACACGCGCGACATTTGCTGCTTCAGCTGACCCCAAGTGGGGAACGCCATGTCAATTGACATACCGCACGTTAGTGCCCACTCGCGAGCGCGACCTCCAAGCTTGGAGATAGCCAGCGCGACGCGCTGCTGCTCAAACTGGAGCAGAGCGGATACCATGGTCATCTCGACCTCACGGGTCCAGAGAAGGAGATTCTCTCCATTCTTCCCTTAGAATGTTTTTACGCTCACCAAGAGCGGTTTCGGTCTAGCAGACCCGTCGCGCGTCACCGACGCTGCCGCCGTTGTGGCGCTCATCTTTTCTTGGACATGCTCCAAGAGCGCGTTTTTATAACGGGAGGACGATTCCAGTCTGGCGGTCACCGCCTCTGGACCTTGAGATGCAAGGTAAGCCACACCCTCTGGGCCAAGTCAAGACATGAGCTTGATAAGGGCGTTCTGCTGCGCCGGGGGCAAGTTCGCGAGCACTGGGTGTTCGATCCTCGCAGAGGATACAGTCAACCGACTCAGGTGCGGGATTGGCTACAAGTGCTACCAAGTGCCGCGGGGCTGCCGTAGCTAAGCGTCAGAG